TGAATGAACACTTCTGACATTGTCCAGTACTTACTCTACGTTTAGCTCTATTTTAGCTTCATCAACTCTTGAGGGAAATATCTGGGTCTTCAGCTGCTAAATCTGTCACTGTGTTTACTAGCCTGTGGTCAATCTGTCTGTCTGTAGTTTGGTGCTGCAAAAAGTCAGTTCACTAGAACTTTCCACTGAATCTCACTGCTGAAAACAGGCCGATGTGAGTGGACTTGCTAATTTGGAAAACCATAAAAATGAGCTCACAGATGCCACTTAAACCAAACTCTGTTCATTGAAGTCATTGTTAGAATAAAATTAATTTGTGTTTTAAACTTCTCTTGAGATGACCTAACTTTTAACCTTGACAAATTGGTTGCTTTGTCACAACATTTCTCAAAGGATTTAAAATGTTAACATATTTTGAATGGTTTAGCCAATTCCTAAACTTCCCACACATAAACACTCACACACCTCCTGAGTCTCTGTCTTTTGATTGAGATCCAGATTAAGAATACATTTTAAAAAGGTGCTATCTCAACAGATCTATATAATCTTTCTTGATGACTATTTTATTGCAACTTGGCTTTACAAGGTCATTCTGTCTTGCTTTTAGATTAACAAGTCTACCATGATATATTTAGATACGTTTTCATCAGATATCTTCTTTTTTCTGAAAGTTTTTATTTACATCAGCGCTTTTTCTATTATTTCATGTCAAATCATGACAGTTCCTTTTTCAGCCCTCCTTCACAGTCACCTTCCAGTCACATCGGTCTGTTTTATCAAATGTCCCCCCCCCCCAGCCATGAATCCAGTGAGGACCTGGTACGTGTCGTCCTGTCAAGTGCCTGATTGTAACTCGCATGAACGGGTCCTGTGTTAGACATGTAGGTGTCCTTCCTCTGCCTCTCAGCAGGGGCTAAAAAGTATGTTTCCCTCTTTTTTCACACGCCCATAAAAAATAAAGCAGCCCTTTATCCTCGACCTGAAACAATGGGCTCTCTCATTCAGTTGAGTTACAGTACATCCACAGACCACCTCAAGGACAGGGAGGCTGAGCAAGTGGCCTGACTATTCAGCAATTTATCCTCGAGGATGGCATACCGATAATGCCTTGTGGTCTAGACATATGTTTCCATAAAACAGCCTACTTAGACAGTGACCTTCATTTTAAGCACTTTGACCACAGCTACTGTATAATTTTCTGCACTGAATATAAGCTGCTGTTTGCCGGAAGCCTGCTGCTAGCATCCGCAAAAGCTACTTCCAAAAAAGTCTGAACCTTGAAACTGAGTCACTAAGCAAACCAGACTAATATCTTCTTCTGCTTCTTCAAAAATACACTAATCACTGTAAATGTTATGTTGGAAAGATGTTTCATTAAAATCGCCCCGAAGGAAACGTTGCTGTAGGGCGACTCATACAAGGGCAGACTTGTACATAGGAAAGAGACGGTTTCTGAAAACAAACAAAAGACCCTCGTAAAAAGTGAGTCAGAGAATCTTCCAGGTAGTGACTGGACCCAAGGACACCGTGGGCACACTCACACGCTACTCAGAGGTACTTTAAACATGCTTCTAAAGGCTTTTTGATATTAGTGACCCTGAGGAAACTAAGTATCTTAAGCTTCTTCCATCTGCATCATTAATTTTGTCAGCATCCTGAATCTCAATAAGAACGCCACAAGTATTGCTGTAGTTCTCATTATCATCATCGCTTTCAGAAATTTCATCACAGTCCTCCTCTGCCTCGTTATCACCACCATCATCATTATCCCACTGTAACTCCTCACTGCTCCTCTCCTCCCCGGCCCTCAGACTGACCTGCTCCTCCTGCCTGCCCTGCTTTCCTACCTACCCTCTGATGAATAACTCTGGCGGCCTACTTCTGAGAGGACGCACTGTTTGACTCACTGGTCGGGTTTGGCTGAGACAAAACCTACATCAGTGCACAGCAGCCAGGAAGAGCCAGTCACATCCTGACAAGGAAGGTGAGCTGTCCATTACTTGGATGAGCAAAAAAGAAACAGAAGGATTAAGCAGAAAATATGTAAGGTTTAGTATACAGAAAATGAATGCAGTGTAATTAAGTGACAAACAGTATACAGTATGTGTTTAGATGTTGAGGGTATGAGTGTGTAAAAGCTTCTGCCTGTCTGGGTTTTGCCTTGTTTTTGTCTTGCACGTCAATGGGGTAAGTTGATTGTTCAGGTAAAACTGTAAAAGGACCAGAAACAGTAAAAATATCTAACTCTGATCCAGCAGGGCAGTGAAATAAAGAACTAATGGAAGGATTTGCAAAGCATGGTAGAGAGAGTGGCTACTTTATCCTAAAAGAAGTAGACAAAATGGCTCCCACGCAGGGCAATTCTAGCAACATTTTGCATTAATTAAGTCATTTTACTGGCTGTAAATGACACAGAGGGCCACTAAATACTGCTAATATGGCCTCTATTATTTATACTTTAAAACATTCTCCACACAGCTGTCTTCACACAGAAGGAAAGCATGTGTAAGTTAATTTAATATACAGTAGAAGGACACAAATAGATGTTGAATGGTTAGTGCTACATCCAGTACATCAAATGACTTGTTGTGTTTGTCTGACATCAAATGATGCAAGTTTTATTGTACATGCAAAAATAAAGAGTGAATCAAAGAAAATTGTGTGGCTTCTCTCATATTGACACCAGGTTGAATGTAGAAGAATTATGTTCTACTAGGACATGTTTTCAAACATGAACTCTGGAAAATGTCCATAAAATTGCATCCAGACATATTCCCGGGTTTGCCTTTTCAGAACGCAGAAAGTGATTGTCCAAGTCTGACTTTCACAACAGGAAGATCACAGAATACAGACAGGACATGATGTATAATTTCCGCTGTCAGCCTTTGTCATCAAAAGCTTTTGAATATCAATGTTTTTCCAAGTTGACGTCATCATCTGCAACAGCTATATGTATGAAACCTCTTCTTCATCCTGAGATGGTTGTATTCTTCCTGTTTTGCATGTGTTATTTTGTCATTTTTGTCATCGCTCGCTCACTGCAAATGTTCCAGAAATTGTCCAACTGTATTCTCACATGGGCTCAGTTGGACTTTTTTGTGACATTTTACTAAAGGCTGGAAGGAAAACTTCTGGAGAAATTTCAAAAATAACTAACAATTGCAAATGCAGTGCATGTCTGAAAGCAGCATAAGTCAGTCAAAGCCACATCTGTGGCCTCTATCATATTGGTACCAGACCAAAACTAGGACCAGTGTGTTTCCAGGAAAACAGCTTGTTCTACTAGGACATAGTATCCAGCAGCCTTTGCTCTATGTCTCCAACAGTTTCTGAGCAGCCATCCATGTTTCTCTCCCCTAGGGTTAGCAGGGCTGCTGAGAGCAGCAGGGTCTGTGCACCAGATAAATGTTTGGACAGGAGAGGCTCTAGGTTGCTCTGAAAACAATAGGATCAAACAGGACCATCAAAGGCATCTAGCGATCAAACCAGGCAGAGAACTTTACTATCAGTCCATAAAGCAGCAGAGATGCAGGATTAGTGAGTATTAGAAAGCTCATCCATCAGTATTGCCAGTGGATGTTTTATTCACACAATGTTACAGTGCAAATGGAAACATCAAAGAACCAAGCAAAGTAAGACATGGGTGCTTACGTGTTAGTGGTGATATATTGCTGTGTGCTCAAAAAAGGACATTTGGTAAATCCCAGAAATGTGTAACAAGGAATTTTCACAATAGAACTCACTTAAAGACAGCCTGGCCAAACTCTGCCAGACTTTGGTCATGCGAGAGGCACTTTCTTTGACAACTCAATAAAGAGCAGGCTGACTTGGGTGACCTTTTCCCTGCACCATCTAACAAAGCTAACAAAATCAATCTTGCCATACCAAACTGAGTGACGGAGTGATTTTGTGCTGGGACATCTGTGAACCATTGACTGTGAGGGGCTGAATATCAGGGGGAAGACACACTTCCATGCTGCTCACCTCGCCTGCCTCTGACTTGGGGACACATTCAGCTTCACTTGCATTTCACTATTTATATTCTACCTCTGTCTCCTACTCCACAATGGGAGTAATCAACTGCAAGGGGGGGTGTATTTTCCACTTCACACTGCACCGCTGGTTATCAATGGAACCTTTCAGAAAGGATCTTTCCTCCACTGATTGAAACATCATTTCTTGCTGGACTGTAGCACACTAGCGCTATTGAGAAGTGCCCCCTATGAGTCTCTCACTACAGCCCTTTCATATTTACTGGTGACCTGGAGACCTCTGGGGCGGCATAAGGTATCAGCTTGCTGTGAGCTGAGGGTGCAAGGGGCATAAATGCATCCACACAAACATTCACTCAGTGTGGAACAGCCAATCTGAGAAACAGAGAAGTGTTTTCACTTCACCTCCCACTCCGTTCCAAAATAAATAAAGTACAGAAACTTTAAACATGAGGGTAAAGCATCAGAGCCAAGTCAAGAAAATAGAAATAGACTTCATCCATATAAGACTATAGTTAAAGGATCCAACAGTCAGAATAGCTAACTCAGGAGAATCTATCTGTGACCGACAGTAAAGCATGTTACATTAAATTGACTTCCATGTGATTTTTGCTTGTACTATAAAAAAGGCCTGTCAGCTCCCTGACGTTTTGAGGACAAGGCAGAGAAGAGATGAGAGAGGAAGACGGGGAAAGAATGAAGGAGGGGTGGAAATATAGACAGAGAGAGAGATGCGGTGCATTGCCGCGTCTCTGCAAGGCTAAGGGATACAAGCCATGCCTCCCCTGCTCCCCAACCAATTACTAACACACACATTGATTCATTGAGGTCGACGAGGTGTGGACAACATGGGTAGAGACACGACGGCAATGAACAGTCGCAAGGCTTGCACATTAATCTATACCAAACAATGCTGCAAGTTCACAGGGTTGATGTTTTCAAAATACATCAGGATTACAGATTTCATTACAAACACTGCAGGGGACTCCATGAGAGATGGAAGATTACCTGTAGGTCAAAGAATTTGCTGTATCTTCTGTAGATGATATGGGAGGTGTTGTCAGAGTAGGTGACATTGATGAGATATACCTGCCAAGAGAAAAAAGGAAAAGTTAAAAATAGCTATGTAACTTCTTGTTTTATTATCTTTGTTTTCAATTTGCTTGCTTTTTCTCAAGCAGTCAAATATATGAATATATATTGAATTGCAATATAAGAAGGAACTTTCACATTTGAGAGGGTGTTTAATACATGGCAAACAATTAGGTGATGAAGTGATTTTCTATCAATCAACTTCTATTACTCTGCTAATCTTTCCAGCAATCGTCGAACAATAAATATGAATTAATTGTGGTTCTGCTTGTAACACAAAGCCAAGGCAACAGGCTCACACAGGCCAAGACCAATTGCCCCAACAAGAAGGTTCAGTGACACACAGTCATAAATCCATCAATGGTTGCTACTTCAGGGTAAATGGTGACATCATCCTTCTTTTGTCAGCACCCTGAACTGCTGGCCTTTACCCTTCTGGAAGCTGTGCTGCAGCCCTGAGAAGCCTGATAACATTGAGATAGAGTCCATTTATCCGTCAAGAGGAGGTAAGTGATGCTGCTATCATCTCTAATCTAATGCAACATAGATAACCAAGGTAACAGATCCAGGGGCCAGGAAATTTTCATCAGGCACGTTAAGAGCAGGTGGGATCTCTCAATTTATGATAGAGAGGTATTCAGAAACTCGCTCTGAATGTTGAATTATTCATGTGGATTAGTTGTTATATAACATTAGGCTACAAGCTTTTGAAGAGGACATTATACAGAGCTGTTCATTCATTAGGTACACCTCTAGAAAACAAAATTTAATAAAGCTCTTTAAAACTTACATTATCCTCATATTCTGCCCCCCTCATATGTAATTGTAAATGTGGGTGGGCAAAATATTAGATAATCTGTCAATATATTCTGAGCTAGCTATCAAAATAATCTGTAATTAATTTCCCTGTGAGTCTTTTCTGCAGGACATTGCCAATGTCTCCCAAAAGGTATATGGCTGTTATGCAAAAAAAAAAATTTTTTAATTATACATTTTAATTGCATGGCACTAAATCATAACATATGTTATCTCAAGGCCATTTACATAGTAAGGTGAAGACCTTAAAGTATAATAGAGAAACCCATCAGTTCCTCATGAGAGAAAACATGAAGAAACATCCAACAAATCCAGACTTAGTGTGGGCAGCCATCTGCCTCTGCTAGTTGAGGTTAATAATAAAAATTGGCTGAGGGAGTAACCACGTTCAACTTGAAAAAGGAACTTTGTTGTCTGGAGGAACCAATACACAGCACGATCAGCACGGTAAGTGCCGTTGATGTAATCGGTGGAAAACACTCAAGTGTTCAGATATCTGAACAAACATCCAATGTTTGTCTGGAGAGGACAGACTCATATTACCATAAGGTTGAATGAACTAAGATGAGTATTGACAAAAACAGTAGATTTTTTGTATTAGACTCTACGATGCACAAAATTATCTTGTGACCATGTAGGGAAGTTATATTCTTCTCTGTGTACGCTTGCTGTGATCATCACAATGAATCATGACTTTTATATGGAATATAGAAAATAATCTTACAATACTGACACAATGTATCTTTTTTCTACTGTAATAACAGGTAATACAAAATATATTCATGGTGTTTCTGTTTATTTGGTACCTACCAAGAGCTGAAAGGCTGTATGCATCTTGTGTATGCTCAATGTAGAACTAATACAGCTAGATTATTACCATTGTCACCCACCTAAGTGGCCCAGACACAGCACAAATTGGAATCCACTTAGCATCAAGCCGCTTTGAATAGAGAAACGATTGACTTTGCCTCATGTATAGCATTCAGATGAAATATAGGCAAATTGTTTCCTTGGCAAGCTATTCCCCGTCCTTATTCAAACAGGCTCCATCTTTCTGACTGATCTTTCACTGTCAATCCGACCCTCTGTACCTGCCAAGAGCCACCACAGCAGAGCTTCTAGATGAATGAGGTTGAGTGAAAGACCCTGGCGCTGACGTAAGAGGGGCAGCGGCCTGAAACAAAAGAGGTTCCACAACAAAGCCGAGGGTTAAAAGGCCTTGTTGCCGTTCCTGGAAGGGGCTCAGCTGCTGCTGGCAAGGGGCCAAGACAGTATGCTCACTCCCAAGCAAACAGAGCTACTGGCATCCAGAAGTTGTAACTGTCACACTACATTGACAAACTTGTTCTAAGCACGGTGGGGTGGCACCACAGCCATTAGCTTTGGCATTTATTGCTGTGAAAATGTGCTCCCTGGGGCAGTGCCAAGTTACAACATCACAAAAGTCAATGACTAGCTAACATGGCCACAGTCAGCAATATGTCTCCAATTGTCTTTGTGCCTTCTGTAGCATAACAAGGACTGGTGAACATTGCAAAGAGCTCTATTCACTGCTCAATAATGAAGCAACTCTTCAAAGACAACTGAATAGAAGAGTGAGTTAATTGACGGCGAAGGTGTCGTTACATCACATGGGGACTCAGGCTAGCTTTTAAAGGTCTATATAAAGGCTGTACTTTATTTCATTGGCACAAGTACTCAGAATAGTTTCAAGACTATATACATGCAAAACTAATCACATTTCCATTGCATTCAGATCATTTTGTATTTAGTGTTAACTAACAAATATCAGCATGATAAATTAACATGATGAGCATGGTAAACATTATATCTGTTAGCAAGTCAGTATACTGATTTAGCTCAAAGTTCTGCTGTGCTTGAGGACAGCCTCACAGGGCCTCTATAGCTGTAAAATATACATATATATTCTGAACTGCATTTCCTTGAGTGTATGCATACTGCTACAGCCATATGTGAGGAATTTACTCCACATCTATTATGTGGCTGTGAGCGTTTGGCAGTCTTTTGAGGTCAAAGTCATTTACAGAGCACACACAGAGTATCGTCCTTCCATCATGCCTCATGAGTTGAGGTGTAAGATAGAAGCCAGTGGACTCAGTGAAAAGATCTAAACCCCCAGCAGCACATGGATATATGACGCCAACCACAGTGGAAAACCCAAACAGTAACCATCTATGATCTGCCATTGCCCAAAATACCAAGCTTGAACGTAACGCCCCAGAGTCCCCCAAATAGCCTATTCAGTCAGCACAGACAGCAAATTATAGGAGCCTGGACTGCTCAAGTCAAATCCAGCAGTGAACATCTTCTGATTTGTCAGTAATGACATTTTACTGTTTTGTTTTGCATACTGCATGGTGGCTGCTTTTCCCTCACTTCTCAATGAAGAATGGCACACACTCATGCGATGACTAAAATAAGCCAGCATGTTATGGTTTGACTCAGAGCTCAAGTACATCCAGTCGTGAGTACTCAGTGCAGCCAAAATGTCCCTAATCAAGCATTTGTGAAAAAGAATTATGACTCACTAAAATGTCATTTAGGAAGTTATCTGTCTGCCAATTATATAATCATATAATAAGATGGAATGGAAGATGAGACATTTTCACAGCAGCAACTGAGCCATTTTCACAGCAGCAACTGAGACAAACTGAGTTTTTTGCAAGTGAAACATTAAGAACAAGTCTCCGATTTAACTTTGTACTTCGTGTGGGGATTTCTGCACCAAGGAAATCAAGATAAAGAATTGAACATTGTCTTGTGATTGCTGCAAGACATTCTTGCACAGCAGGCATGTCTGGACCAATAAGGCACTAATGCAATCCCAAAATGAAGGCTGAAATCTGGGTGAGGAGGCCACATAAAAGCTTCACTGCTTCACGTGGAAATCTGCATGATCTCTTGATTTCTAACACTGAGCTGTTAATAAACAAGGCAGCATTTGGAAACAGGAAGGTGTTCAAAGCTAAAATGGGTATCGAGGGATTAGGAAACAATGACCAGGCTGAGCCATAAATCACTGTAGATTACCGTAAAGGGCCTGATATGACTATGTTTGAACAGATGTGCTGCTGTCTCAGTGCATATAGTAACTGCAGCTGAATGAAAGCAGCTCCTTTAATGAACACTATCAATCAATATCATTCAGAGACAATCTCTAATTCAATAAAAAAACAAAGGGGCTTTGATCGCAGATTAGTCAATACTCCATGTCTGAGATGTCATCATTCTTTTCAAAGAAGTCTAAAATTTGATGCAGTGAAAATACAAATGACGGAGAAAAAACTTGATAACTCAAAGAAGGCTTTGGGGACTTCAGTGTCCCAAATAGCAAGAAAAGAACGTGTACATCTGTTATTCCCACTGAGGAAGTGGGACTTGAAAACAAAACTTTTATTCATGCTCAGAGGCAAAGACAGAAAAATGAATTCTTGTGACGGAACAAATTGGACCTCTGATTATTTCATTGTGTTCGTCTGAAAGGGCTATGAATATTCATGTCAAGTTTACTTTATATTTCCCCTCTGCCTCTCCTGAAGTAATTGTTTCTCCAATAACATGAACACAAACACAGTTCAGTAACTATAGGAGAAAGTATCGATAGAAAACAAATAAAGGCAATAACTTACAGTTTCGAGGAAAGCCCGGACCCAGTCTCCAGTTTTCAAGAAGAGAAGGCAAAAGAGTGGAGTGCTTGGTGGGGCAGAGAATGTGGGCCTAGCCACTAAATGCAGTGAACCCCGCCTAAACTACTATATTTAAGTAACATATAAAACAGACACCCATGAGACTTTTAGACCATGAAAGCACAAACGATCTGACTAAAAAAAGTTAGGTTGGAAAAATTCTTGTTTAATGGGATTAAAGTCCTTCCACATAGAACCATTGCTGGCCCATAGTCTAATGGTCTAATGCAGTCAGTTAGTAGATATGTTTAACCAGAGGGGTTAACAAATGAGAAGAAAGCTTGGCAAATTCTTCTGAGCTTTGTCTCAGCAAGCCAACAAATTGGCACAAGGGGGAAATAAACTGTGGGACAATTCCATTTTGCATGCTTTAGAAGGGAGTCTTATGGAATCGCCGGAAGACAGAACAACAAAACAGCCAAAACAGTGCCCTTTTCGAACCACACACCAAGCCGACGCCTCAGTTTTCTTTAA